TCACAAGTGCTATCACCAATCATTGCAACACTCTTTAACAAATCCATTGAATCCTCCACCTTCCCTACAGTTCTCAAAATAGCAAGGGTCACTCCGATCCATAAAGGAGGAGACCAAACAGAGTTGAATAACTATAGGCCAATATCCAATTTACACCCTCTCTCAAAAATCTTCGAAAAATTAATTCATAAACGAATCTACTCCTACCTCATCTCCCAAAACATACTCAACCCCTGCCAATTTGGATTCAGGCCTAATAAAAATACTAATGATGCTATTATACACTAGAGAAAAAAGAAGTCCCACTGGGGATCTTCATTGACTTACGTAAAGCTTTTGATACAGTTAACCATGACTTGCTCCACGTAAAAATGTCACACTATGGTATAAGAGGGCACTCCCTCAACTACCTCAAGTCATACCTCAGCAACAGAAGCCAATATGTGTACGCAAATGGGGCAAGCTCTTCCGCACAACCAATTACAGTTGGTGTCCCACAGGGAAGTGTCCTTGGCCCTCTTCTCTTTCTCCTATACATAAATGACCTACCAAATGCTTCGCAATTACTCAAATCCACACTATTTGCAGATGACACTACATACGTCTTCTCCCCACCCGAGCCCAGTCACGCTAGCCAATACTGTAAATACCGAATTACAGAAATATCTACTTGATGAGGACTACCAAACTTACACTAAACATTGACAAAACCTACTTCATCAGTTTGGTAACAGAGCTACAGATGTCCCTCTTAACATAACGATAAATGGATCACCTATCACAAAGCTAAACAGAGGGAAAATTCTTAGGAATCCACCTTGATAATAGACTCAAATTTCATACACATATACAACAAATTTCTAAGAAAATTTCCAAGACTGTAAGGCATACTATCGAAGATACGGTACTATGCTCCACAGTCAGCCCTCCTGGCCCTATATCACTCTCTTATTTACCCCTATCTCACCTATGGAATTTGTGCATGGGGCTCAACAACAATTAACCATCTCAGACCACTAATTTACCCAACAAAAGGCTGCAGTCAGAATGGTAACAAATTCCCACTACAGGCAGCACACTCCACCAATATTCAAAACACTCAACCTACTCACCATACAAAACATCCATACTTATTATTGCACCTATTACATACATGGAACACTTAACTCTGATATTAACCCTCCCCTCAAACATCTCCTTGCCAACCTCAACAGAACACATGACCATAACACAAGGCACAGATCACTCTTTTATGTTCCTCGTGTCCATCTCACGCTATGCAAAAACTCAATGCACATAAAAGGCCCTAAAATCTGGAATTCATTACCTGTAAATATAAAAGAAACACTACCTGTTTATAAATTCAAGTCTCTTCTCAAAGATCACTTACTCACCCAAAACCAAATAAATACTGAATAAGTGAACCTTATAAATTGTATATCCTAAATGTTTCTCACAATTATATCACATAAATGTTAAACCTAGGACCCAATCTAATTTTGTTATTTTTTAAATACACTACCTAACAGAATACTCCATTCTACTGAATGTACAGCAATGCATGCAACCATATGACCTGTCTTTGTAATACTCATTTGTGCTTTATAGTTATCTGTTTACAATAATGTTTTATCACTGATTACATCATTGCTTAGTTAATCTTAAGTTAATTTTAAGCCAGCCCGTAATGCTATGCATATAAGTGGCTTTGGCATGCTGCTCTTACCTGTATTTTTTTTGTACCTCTGTATGTATGCACAAATTACTAAATAAATAAATAAATATATAAACCACTATCACAACTGCTTCCACTCTACAACCACCATCTTTGTATTTTTCTACAAACTTTTTCATAAATTGTGTTTCTCACATTCTTTACCAAAGGGCTGGCACTAGAAGCTTTCTTTGGTGGTAGTGATGGTGGTAGAAGGTAGTAGTGATGGTGGCAGAAGGTAGTAGTGATGGTGGTAACAGTTGTAATAGTGGTAGAAGGTCGTAGTGATGGTGGTAGAGGGTTCCTTCTTTAGTGATTCAGCTATTCTACCAACTCCTCCAATGTTGTTGGAGTTATATAGGGCTAAAAAACCCACCGCCGCCTCTCCACCATTATGGACGGCTTACACTCAGTGGCCCTTATACACCCAACAACAACACAACACAACACCTCTCATACGGAATGACTTATTTTATTCATTCTAGAGTATATTCCATGTTTCTATGTTATTAATATTGTTTATTATGTCATATTAGCTGAATTGTGATAGATAAATAAGCCATAGAGTTGATATTAGTGTCATATTCTCCAACAATAAACTTGCCATCCCTCCCTCACAAACAAATAGCCAGTAAAAACAACAATGGAAGAACACTGCAGGTCTACTGGCCCATACAAGGCAGGTCCTTATCAAAATGACCTCCACCCAAAGCTACCCAAGAATTTACTCCCGTACCCAATGACACAAATCAAACTCAGCTCCTCCAACTCGTATATTTATCCAATCTCTTCTTAAAGCTACCCAAGGTCCTAGCCTCGATCACCCTACTGGTAAGTGTGATGTTAAATAAGAACTTAAGAAAGTAGGAACACTGGAACAGGCCTGCTGGCCCATTCTAGGCCAGTCCTTCACAAATCCAACCCACTAACAGAACAAATGCTACCCAAGCAATAAACTCAGGTGCAAGTCCGACTCAAATCCAACCCCTTTCACTCGTGTATTTATCCAACCTAAATTTGAAACTACCCAAGCCATAGTTTTTAGAACATTGGAAAGGAGGAACACTGCAATAAGCCTGTTGGCCCATACTAGGCCAGTCCTTCACAAATCCAACCCACTAACAGAACAAATGCTACCCAAGCAATAAGCTCAGGTGCAAGTCAGACTCAAATCCAACCCCTCACTCGTGTATTTATCCAACCTAAATTTGAAACTACCCAATGTTTTAGCTTCGATCACCCTACTAGGCAGACCGTTCCACTCATCAACTACCCCTATTACCAATGTTGATTTATACATTTTATTAGTGCCCTAGAGTCCTTATGGAGGGGGATTCCCCTTCCAAATAACCTCTCTTCCCTCTCTCCTCCTCCCTGTCTTCCATTCATCAACAACAGCCTTCAATAAAGGTAACTGTCATGTTGAATGTTCATTCTTTTGTGCATGTAAATCTATCTTTTAGGTAAAAAAAAAAATTGTTGTTGATACTTCTGGGTGTCTGGAACGAATTAATTGGATTTACATTATTTCTTATGGGGAAAATTGATTCGAAAATCGTCCATTTCGATAATAGTCCCACTTCCAGGAACGGATTATGGACGATTATTGAGGGACCACTGTATATTGCACCTTACTTTAGTCTCACAGGCCACATAAGTTATGCGAAAAAAATAAAATAGTGAAAAAAACAAGAAACCTTCCAATTCAAGTAAACCAAAATTTACCAGTTGAGCAGCATTCGCCACTGTTGCCACACATGGCTCATTTTCTGCCAATTTTACTCCTCTATATCTCGGTAAGTATTGATTGCAAAAAAATTTTTTGGGGGGGAAGGGGGGAGCTTAAAACAATCAGAAAATTAATCTTAACATTTTCATAAGAAAAAATATTTTTTTTTTTTTTTTTAATATTCTTCGACACAGAGACACTTCAGAATTCGGGTTGCGACAGTCAAAGGGTTAAGATAATTTATTGTGATTAAGAAAATTTGCTACACAATATGAACAACTCCACAAATTTTCACCCGGTCCACGACACACCACCTCACCCCCGCCCATCCCATTCACCCAGTCTCATGAGCTTTGATTTATGAAACTGTGTTTTTTACCTGGTAATCTTCAAAATCTTCCACGTGAATCTCAGACCCCTTTTCCTGGAGTGCTTCAATTTCCTCCACACCAAATTCCAGGGCATAAAAACCTAGAATTAAGCATTAAATAATTAAAAAATCCAGAAATGTTTATGTAGTTATTACTATATATATTTAACCAATGCATGCAGTGATGCAGTATTTTAAAGTACAGCCTCTCTTTACTTAATGACTGGGTTCTGTTCCTAAGAGTAGCTCGGTAAGCAAACTGGTCGTTAAGAGAGGAGCATACTATACTGGTAGTGGATTTGTGTCAACAATCTTTAGATAGTTTTAGTGTGCACCATTTCTAACATTTCTGGTAATTTTTAAATGTTTATACAGCAGTTTACTGTAACAAACAAAATAGAAGAAATCAGCTCTTAATATACATTATTTAGGTTTGAATACTGGTTGGAGAGCTGGTCGTAAGTCCGAGTGGTCAGTAAACGAGTACATCGCTCAGTGAGGAGAGGCTGTATTGTTGATATAGGCCATAAATAATAAACCCACCCCATCAGTGACTGTTTTAAGAAGACACAGAAGCTACAAGTGCTGTAAGACCACTATTGTTTTAACACTCCTCAGTAATGACAATGCAATTTAACCCTTAAACTGTCAAAATGTAGATCTACATTCACTTGCATAGCACTCTGAACTTAGATCTACATTTTATTTTATGTGCTTTCAAATGTAAAAAAAAAAAAAAAGTAGATCGATGTTTGGAGCACTGTGCAAGTGAATGCAGATCTACGTTTGGGCAGTTTAAGGGTTAAATGTGGACAGTGTACAGCCTGTAACCATAGAAGCTTCATAAAAACCAAATCTGAGGAGACAGTGATTAGGCAGATGGTATCAGTAATTGTTAGTGAAATAAATCTACACTCAAACTTTGAGAGAAAAATTAACATAAGCAGTTTTTTTATTACAGACCTATATTTACTTACCAAAATTAAAGTGCAAATTGAAAAAAATACTGTACTCTTCACATAACTAAACACAGTAATTCTCGCTACGTTGTCTATCGTTTTCATATGTGCAATTAAAAATCAGAAAAACACAAACATTTAAAGTTTTTAACTATCATACTCACTATCAGCACCATAAGTTGCCACAATGCCCAAAAATTTGGCAAACTCTTTCCGTTGCATGAAGCTGCCTTTCTTCAGCATAATTCCCTTAGGGAAGAACGTTTGGTCAAAGGGTGTAACACCATCAACTTTGGTGATGTTGGATTTCTTCAAAGCCTCTTCAAGCTGTGCTGATACATTAAAACCTCGCCTGCAGGAAAGTAAGATTGCTGAACTTCTGTTTTATTTGACTGAATATACTACTCAGGAATACATTATCAAGAAATATACAGTAGGGTCCCACTAGATGGCGTTTTGCCTTACGGTGTTCCGCTAATACAGCGATTTCAAATTATGACCAAAACTTGCTATACGGCTGTCTTTCTAATATGGTGGGGGCCACCCGGTTTGTTTACATTCTCCGTGAGCTCTGCGTCTCTCCATAACGTCTGGAAAACTTTCCAAAATTTCAAGTGTTTTAAAGTAATTTCATATTTTATATATATACGTACAGTGGTACCTCAGGATACGAACTTATTTCATTCCAGAAGGCTGTTCGAGTGCTGATACCAAATGAATCTGTTCCCATAAGGAATAACTTAAATTAGATTAATCTGTTTCAAACCCCCAAAAATACACTTACAAAAGTACTTACATAAATACACTTACATAACTGTTCGCGTTTTGAGCTGTTCGTATCCTGAGGTACCACCGTACTCTGATAATTATACAATGGAACCTCAAAAATCGAACTTCTCGCAACTCAACCAATTATGTAAGTGTATTTTTGTAAGTGCTTTTATAAGTGTATTTTTGAGGGTCTGAAATGGACTAATCTAATTTACATTATTCCTGATGGGAATAAACTCGTTCGGTAGCAACACTTGAACAGCCTTCTGGACCGAAGAAAGTTCTACATTTGAGGTTCCACTGTACTTAATAAAAATAATAATAGTTTATTACGACATGATACATAGTTGTACAAGGTATTATAATAGTTGGGTGTACATGTCAAAAGCCCTTGTATGTAGAGCATTATGGGCAGGCTTAAAATTAACTTAAGATTAAAGAAATATTTTTTTTTTTCAACAAACTGGCCGTATCCCACCAAGGCAGGGTGGCCCAAAAAGAAAAACAAAACTCTCTCTTTTTAAATTTAGTAATTTATACAAGAGAAGGGGTTACTAGCCCCTTGCTCTTGGCATTTTAGTCGCCTCTTACAACACGCATAGCTCACGGAGGAAGAATTCTGTTCCACTTCCCCATGGAGGTAAGAGGAAATAAACAAGAACAAAAACTAGAAAGAAAATAGCAGAAAACCCCGAGGGGTCTGTGTATATATATGCTTATGTGTATATACGTGTATATGGGGGTAAAGGAGGTTTTGTGGGCGAGGGGCTTGGACTTCCAGCAAGCATGCGTGAGCGTGTTAGATAGGAGTGAATGGAGACGAATAGTACTTGGGACCTGACGATCTGTTGGAGTGTGAGCAGGGTAATATTTAGTGAAGGGATTCAGGGAAACCGGTTATTTTCATATAGTTGGACTTGAGTCCTGGAAATGGGAAGTACAATGCCTGCACTTTAAAGGAGGGGTTTGGGATATTGGCAGTTTGGAGGGATATGTTGTGTATCTTTATAAGTTGTTAGGTAAGACACATATGCAACAGTTAGGTATCTTTATTTCGAAACGTTTCGCCTACACAGTAGGCTTCTTCAGTCGAGTACAGAAAAGTTGATAGAAGCATAAGATACTTGAAGACGATGTAATCAGTCCATCATTCTTGAAGTTTTGAGGTGGTCAGTCCCTCAGTCTGGAGAAGACTATGGAACAATACTCTTCTCCAGACTGAGGGACTGACCACCTCAAAACTTCAAGGGTGATGGACTGATTACATCATCTTCATGTAAATTTTGCTTCTATCAACTTTTTTGTACTCGACTGAAGAAGCCTACTGTGTAGGCGAAACATTTCGAAATAAAGATACCTAACTGTTGCATATGTGTCTTACCTAACAACCTGTCGGTATTTTATACCATTTTAATGTTCACTCATGTTTATAAGCGTATGCTTCTAAACTGTTGTATTCTGAGCACCTCTGCAAAAACAGTGATAATGTGCGAGTGTGGTGAAAGTGTTGAATGATGATGAAAGTATTTTCTTTTTGGGGATTTTCTTTCTTTTTTTTTGGGTCACCCTGCCTCGGTGGGAGACGGCCGACTTGTTGGAAAAAAAAAAAAAAATATGTATGTGTAGTGTCACCTAAGTGTAAGTATAAGTAGCAAGACATTCCTGAAATCTTGCACTTTTTTTTTTACACAAACCTGCCGTATCCCACCAAGGCAGGGTGGCCCAAAAAGAAAAAGAAAACTTTCTCATTTTAAATTTAGTAATTTATACAAGAGAAGGGGTTACTAGCCCCTTGCTTCTGGCATTTTAGTCGCCTCTTACAACACGCATAGCTCATGGAGGAAGAATTCTGTTCCACTTCCCCATTTAGATAAGAGGAAATAAACAAGAACAAGAACTAGAAAGAAAATAGAAGAAAACCCAGAGGGGTGTGTGTGTGTGTGTGTGTGTATATATATATATATATATATATATAATTATTATATTATATTATATATATATATATATATATATATATATATATTATATATAAAATTATATTATATATATATAGTGTGTGTTGTGTATCTCTATACGTATATGCTTCTAAACTGTTATATTCTGAGCACCTCTGCAAAAGCAGTGATTATGTGTGAGTGTGGGAAAGTGTTGAATGATGATGAAAGTATTTTCTTTTTGGGGGTTTTCTTTCT